TACTTAGTTGTTTTCAGCATGAGAGCCTATGCCAGTGTTTCAGAGTGCTAATGAAAGGTGCTGGATTAATAGCTCTAAAGGGTAAGCCCTCTATTTATCCATAGAGCAGGTACAGCACTGGCTGTGGTATTACACGCTACATCAAAATGCTTCAGCACTAGCCCATGGGGTTAGGAGTAACGGTAGTTCGGAATAGGCACCCTAGTCCGAACTACCTAGTTCGAGCCCCGTGTAGCCACGCTGCACGGGGTTCGAAGCAGCGGGGATTTAAAAATGGCGGCTCCCCGCTTATGCTAATGAAGCCCGGGAAATTCAAATCCCGGGCTTCATTAGCAAGTGCGGTATGCCTACATTACCCTCCTAGTTCGAACTAGGAGGGTAGTGTAGACATACCCCCAGGGACAATCTATACAAGCAACAATTATACCCCATGACAACAGTGTAGACATAGCCTTAGTGAAGCACATGAACAGTCTTGTGAAAACTTGTTATGACTACCTCAGTATAGGCATGAACTCCATTTTAACTATTAAGTTTCCTAAAATAGGAATGTTGCACTAGTGCAGCAGACATTATTTACAAAATGAGGAATGGTGCCAAAAGGAATAAACACTGGTTACAGGTTTCTGCCAGGAATATAGACTCCTTTCAGTACAAGCACATTAGCTCCCATTAACACTAATGAGAATTTTGCATGCACATCAAAGTAGAATATATAGCCCCTCATTTGACTGTTTTGATATATACTTATGAGTGTCACTATACATTTATTCTTTCAGCTAATTTCAAAACCAGACATTCAGAGTTTAAATTTATTCATTAATACCTTCAAATAGAGCAAAGCAGCATGGTGCCAACATTAATTGAAAGGAAAACAATCTGATTTCATGGTGAAATATGTCAGTCATAAGTAATAAAACGAAGGTTAAAATGTCTCTCTCCTGAGGTGAGATTAGACACACTGACAGAGCAGTTACTCCACTGAGATCAATTCTTTTTTGGGGAAAAATGATCACATTAAAAATGTATGGTACAATTATAGACCAGATCAATAATGTCACAAAGATACATATTATTTTGTATAGCCGATTAATGATAATATGTCAAAAATACAGCTGTTTAGAACAATAATTCTGCAGCTGAGTTCATGCTTGGGGAGCTTCCTGTAAACTTCCACAGAAGTAAGTCATTGACATTTAAAGCCCTCCTTAAAGTTCTCTTTTGTCAGCAGACCTGCAAAAACCCCAACAGCAAGGCTACTAGTGTGCTGAGCCCACGGCCTACCATGCTGACCAGTACTGTCCTCATGGTTTCCTTGTACTCCCCTGGTCTTTCTATCACTTGGTCTCTTAATTCACACTTAAGGCTTGACAAGTGATTACAAACCAGAGTGTGAATCTGCAGAGCAGTAGCCAGCCTCGCATTAGGTCTTGTTTGGATACTGCTACAGTGCGCTGAAAATCCTGGAGTGCCTCGGCACAAGCTACTCCTTCTCAAAGCACAGCGAGCCAACCTGCACTCGGGACTCTCTTGGCACTGCGATAGTATCCTCACAGGACATTCCTGCAGAACAAACTGGAATGCTGTAGATTGATACCCTGGCTTGTTTTACAGTAACTTGCCATGTAGACAAGCTGTAAGATTATAAGCTCTTTGCCCTGTTTATACAGCACCTATTACACTGAGGTTCTGGTCCTTGAGTGGGGCTCCAACATGCTACAGTAATATAAATGGCTGGGCTTAGTTTGCTTTCCATATTGCCATGCACCCCAGTCAGATATACATTTGCCAGTTTATCATGAGCCTCATTATTCTTGCAGTCAAATTAATTTGGACTGGATTTCTTAAATCATTTGATTGAATGTTCTGGCTAATTGTGCAGTTGGGGCATGATCCTACAGGGTACTAAGCACCCTCCATTCAGTGGCATTTGGGTGCTAATCAGAAGTCAATTAGATTAATGTGAGTGGTGGGTGCTTATTGCATCACAGCATTACTCCAGACTGGCAATGCCTCTGTGGGCTGTCAGTACAATGCTGCCTTAAAAGTAGACATGCTAGAGTACATCCTCTAATGCACAGCTACGTACTACACAGACTGACTGTGTCTAGACTGGCAAGTTTTTCCAGAAAAGTTTTTGCGGAAAAACTTGCCAGCTGTCTACACTGTCCACTTGAATTTCCACAAGAACACTGACTTCCTACTGTCTGAAATCAGTGCTTCTTGCGGAAATACTATGCTGCTCCCGTTCGGGCAAAAGTCCCTTTTGCGCAAAGCTTTTGCACAAAAGGGCCAGTGTAGACAGCTCAGATTTGTTTTGCGCAAAAAAGCCCCAATCGCGAAAATGGCAATCGGGGCTTTTTTGCGCAAAAGTGCATCTAGATTGGCACGGACGCTTTTCCAAAGTGCTTTTGCGGAAAAACGTCCGTGACAATTTAGACGCTCTTTTCTGCAAATGCTTTTAACGAAAAACTTTTCTGTTAAAAGCATTTGTGGAAAATCATGCCAGTCTAGACTCAGCCACTATGTCCACACTTACCATTGCAGCAAGTAGTTGAGAACTACAGTGAAAGGCTCTGACAGTGAGGGGGCACTGGAGAGATTCAGCAATGGGAAAGGAATGAAACCCTACATGGTTAAAATAAATGTAGACAGGGGAGGAGCTTGGGAAAGTAGTATACCGCATAGGGTATGCACACAGAGTTCAGATGTGTGTATAGTATTCCACTCTACCATAGTCACCTAAGCCAAGGCTCACTGTTTACAGTGTTAATTGTACCATGCTAGTGGGACAGGCAGCATCTGCGCTCTACACATCACTGTAGCTGTGCTGAGATGAACATATCTGTCACTTACTAAAACCTCAGCTCCAAAGCGAAAGTGACTTAACTTCTAATCCTGTGAGAATTCATCTACATTTTTAAGCCACCACATGGTCTGACAGAGGTTGTGTTCAGCAAAACCTCATGGCTGAAATGGTTGGGAAAAAGTACATTCAAACAGGCTGAGAATTTACAGTTGTGCGGCATTTTTTCCTCCAGATCTCAAAGCACATCTCAAAGTGGGTTCAGCCTGGTTATCCCCATTTCACAGAGAAAGTCACAGAAAGAGGTTTGATGACTGTAACAAAGTCGGCACTGACCTCACGAGAGCAGCCATGTTTGGCCAAATGCGAGGTCCTGCACGGTCTCTGTTTTAAAACCCTCGCGGCTACTCAGCCTTCCGGCCGGGTCTCACTCTGTGGCTATGTCTAGACTGGCATGATTTTGCGGAAATACTTTTAATGGAAAATTTTTTCCGTTAAAAGTATTTTTGCAAAAGAGCATCTAGATTGGCAAGGATGCTTTTGCAAAAAAAAGTGCTTTTGCGCAAAAGCATCCGTGCCAATCTAGACGCACTTTTGCGCAAGAAAGCTCCAATGGCCATTTTAGCCATCGGGCTTTCTTGCACAAAAAATTAAGGTGCCTGTCTACACTGGCCCTCTCGCGCAAGTATTCTTGTGCAAGAGGGCTTATCCCTGAGCGGGAGCGGGAAAATATTTGTGCAAGAAGCACTGATTTTGTACATTACAAAGTCAGTGCTCTTGTGCAAATTCAAGTGGCCAGTGTAGACAGCTGGAAAGTTTTTGCGCAAAAGCAACTGCTTTTGCGCAAAATCTTGCCAGTCTAGATGCACCGTGTGTGTGATCACTACCTCTTCTGGGGCATACCTCTAACAGGGGCCCATCCCGCTGCTGACTCTAGAGTGTCTCTCTGAGTCCAGTCCAATCTCTCAGTCTGTTTCCCCATTCAGCATGAGATTGGTGTCTCCAGGGCTTCTCCTGGAGACAATGTCCTAATGGCTCCCCAGTCCGAGTTGTTCTTAGTCCTTCCTACCTGCCTGCCAGCCAGCCAGCCAGCCCTGACTTTCTCCCTCATAGGACTTAGCTGCTGCTAGTCCTGCAGCTTCTTATCCAGTCCCTTCTGGTGCCTGATTCGCTGGTTTCCTCATAGCCACTGTAGCCACCAGAGGACTTCTCTATGGCCCTTTTGGCCTTAGGGCCTAGGCTCATTAAAATGACATTTCCAAAGTCATAAGTCAGGAACCAATCCTACCTGTCTTGATTTACCGCTCCGGTATGTCTTTGTCAACCGCTCCGGTATACCTCGTGAAATGAGGTTTACTGGAGCAGTCGACAAAGGCTTCCCTTGTCAACCGCAGCACGTCCAGACTGCCCCGCTGTGCCACCAAACAGCTGATCAGCACAGCGCAGTGGACATTTTTATGTAAATGAAGCGTCGATTATTTAAATCACTGCTTCATTTTCCTATGTCTAGTAAACTCATCTACAGGGCTCCGTCGACGGAGCCATGTAGTCTAGACATACCTTAACACTGCTATATCAAGCTTGAAGAATTACAGCATTTGTCTTCAGTCACTACTTTAATATGCATGCATGGAGCATGTCATTTTTTAAATCCCATTCTTATTGCATAGCTGCAAAAAAGGGGATCCCCTTATTAGTTGTAACATCTAATCCATCCTCTGAACAACATGGGACAGATTAAGAAACAAGGTTTTAAGAATGTTTCTCTTTTCAAAGAAGAGTTTCTAGAGAGTTAAATTTCATTGACTCTGGTTCTGCTATTTCACTGCTAATGACACTCTCATATTACTGGCATGCTGAAGAATTCTGGTATCACCAACCCACTTGAATGTTTCTTTTTATGACAGGAAATGATATAATCTCCTTTAGAGCTTTCTCAAGTCAAACTGACCCAATTTTATTATAGTGATGATGCTCTTGAACTTCGGATGGTTTCTGCTGATAGCAAATTTCCACACCTTCTACACCCCCATGCTGTTTACATACTAAGCCCACCAACTTAGATCACAAATAGCTGTGCCAAACTGCAGTTTTCACTGGAAGGAGTGGGGGTTGTGAAAAATTAAACATGGGTGCACGCCACAAAGTTTGAATCAGTAGTTAGATCTTAATCCAAGTTTTCCCCAATGTTCAGGTGTGAAGGAGTTCAGATCAAGAGATCCAATTCTGCCTACTACAGAGATCAGTCTGAGTTGCCAAGGTCAGGTGTGAATTCAAGCTTCCTCAAAATTCTAGCTTATCACACTTCAGAGTTTGAGCACATGTCTAGTGTGACTTTTTTCACCCAATTTTAGTTCATGTAATTTACTGACATCTCAGTTTAGCTTTGAGACAAATGTAAAACTGTTGCTATTCCCCCATTTCACCTGGCCTTGCACGGAAGTGACAGATTTCGTAATTTTGGTGCAAAAACCACAAATCACACCAGTTTCCCGAAAAGCCATGCCTAAGTTCATGTACATGACTTGTAAAATAAAAACTAGAGGATCTTTATAACATTCATGACAAAATTAATAAGCTTCAAAGAAAAACCAAAGCTACCCATTTATTACTGTATGCATATATCCTACACTTCGGCTACGTCTAGACTGGCATGATTTTCCGCAACTGCTTTTAACGGAAAACTTTTCCATTAGACGCATTTTCGGAACAGAGCGATTAGATTGGCACGGATGCTTTTCTGCAAAAGCACTTTTTACAGAAAAGCGTCCGTGCTAATCTAGACATGCTTTTCTGCAAAAAAGCCCCGATCGCCATTTTCACGATCGGGACTTTTTTGCAGAAAACAAATCTGAGCTGTCTACACTGGCCCGAACGGGAGCAGCATAGTAATTCCGCAAGAACACTGACAATCTTACATGAGATTGTCAGTGCTTTTGCGGAAATTCAAGTGGCCAGTATAGATAGCTGGCAAGTTTTTCCAGAAAAGTGGCTGATTTTCCGGAAAAACTGGCCAGTCTAGACACAGCCTTTATGTATATAAATTGCACACCTACTATAATAGAAGGGAAGCAAATATAAAGCTCCTGGCATGCTTAGAGGCACTTGAGATTTGCAGACATTCAGTACAATGAAAATGGAAGTCTGTCCTGAATCTGAATTTCAGTTTCATCATTACTTTATTTATATAAAAAGTATGAACATAACTGTAATTGGTCAAGGCAAACAGAAATGGAAATTAGGTTTTAAACCATCAAATACTCCTTTTGGAAGGTTTCAATGTAAATCAGCTTGCTTGCTTAGCCTTTGTCTGCACTTTGTGTTGGATCAACGCTGCAGTGATCGATGCACCAGCTGTCCATTTATTGTGTCTGCTGTAGACATGATAAATCGATCTGAGAGCACTCCTGTCAATGTTGGAACTCCATCAAGGTGATAGAGTAGTTGGCATCAATAGGAGATCAGCCCCCATTGACCTGACTACATGCAAGATGCTGAGGTGAGCATGTCAACTTCTGCTATACAAATGGTGTAGCCAAAGTAGATTGATGGTGCAGGTATGTGTAGTTAAGGCCTTGGAACTCAGATTGTTTACATACAATAAATCAAAACCTGAGTCACACAAAATAGGCCACTCCCTAAAACAGAGACAAAACTCTCTCCACTTTTATCTAGGCTGGCTCAGTGCAGATTGACAGCTCCAGGCCTAGGCTACACACTTCCCTAACATACTTGAAGTGGTATCTTGTAATTCTGACACAGTTCTCAATATATCACATTACAAACACCTCAGGGCACACGCAGAATATGTAAAAGCTATTTTAAATTTTCAATAACCAAAAGCCTATACTCACAGTCAGTTGCATACCCACCACATATTCAAAGCCTGCTTCAGGCAAAATCCTTAGTAAAAATATGGGCCTTTTCCCATGCTCTTAAGATGACCAGATTTCTGCTCCTAGCCCTCAGAAGTTCAAATGTTTTGACAAGGACTATTAAGAGAAGCACATCAATAGACCTCAGCTGCCATAGTAGTACCAGGAGGAATTTCATGCAGGAGACAGAGCTTTCTTGGGAATCAGATGGTGCAGCAAAATCTCCCAGCAACTAAGGACTATCACAAGTCTCACCACTTTCTGCTCTAAGAAGACATGCTTGGTCTTTCTTTTGGTCAGGACAGAAAGCTTGTCTAATAGTTGGGATAGGCATACTAACCAGAATCCAAATCAGGGTCTGAGTTATCAAATTCAGGGAACAAGCTGTAGTCAAGAGACAGGAAGCAGGAGCCAAGAGTCAGAGCTAGGGTCAGAAGCTAAATATCAAGTCCAGGGAGCAAGCTGGAGCTGAGAGCCATGAGTCAGAACTAGAATATCAACCAGAGCAGAGGCAGAACCCAGAAACAGCAACCAACAACAAGGCGGAAGAGACCAGGAACCAGAAGCAGGGATAGGACTGAGAGCAGGACCAGAAACACAGTTGCAGACATGGAACACTCTTAAGTAGCTAAGTATCAACTCCGGCAGCAGGGTTTAAGAATGGGCCAGCTGGAGTCTTCAGTCAATCAGAAGGTGGGTTCATTAGCTGAATTACCTGGGGGAAATTAGCTGAGTCTAGATTCAGTTGTGGGTCGCTGACACTAGGGAGAAGATGAAAGAGAACCTGTGGCAGATGTCACTTAATTCATTACCTGAAGGTGCTCAGGTATTACAGCGAGGAGGGCAGAATAAGAGTTTATAGGAAATAGTAGAAGAGATGTATCTAAAAGAATCACCAAGGATGACTTTTTTTCCATCACTTTTTTCCATTTGTTTTAACCAGTACGGTCATTGTGCTGCACCAGAGTCTAAAACCCAAGGCTGTGTCTAGACTGGCCAGTTTTTCTGGAAAATCAGCCGCTTTTCCGGAAAAACTTGCCAGCTGTCTACACTGGCCGCTTGAATTTCCGCAAAAGCACTGACTTCCTACTGTAAGAAATCAGTGCTTCTTGCGGAAATACTATTCTGCTCCCGTTCAGGCAAAAGTCCCTTTTGCTTTTGCGCAAAAGGGCCAGTGTAAACAGCTCAGATTTGTTTTCCGCAAAAAAGCCCCGATCGCGAAAATGGCGATCGGGGCTTTTTTGCGGAAAACAAATCTGAGCTGTCTACACTGGCCCTTTTGCGCAAAGCTTTTGCGCAAAAGGACTTTTGCCTGAACGGGAGCAGAATAGTATTTCCGCAAGAAGCACTGATTTCTTACAGTAGGAAGTCAGTGCTTTTGCGGAAATTCAAGCGGCCAGTGTAGACAGCTGGCAAGTTTTGGCAATTATTCACCCCTGCCTTCTCAATAAATGTTCTTGAATGATGAGGGCTGAGTGGATAATTAACTGATTGTAGAGATGTTTTCTTCATCAGGGATCCAACAACTGTTCATTTATTGGAGGTTAATTAGTCTTTGATGTAGGGAGACACTATACGATGTCATTCAACATAAGACCATACTTCACCAATTTGAGCTTACTAGCTATTTTAGGCATGGATACAGTCTACAGATCACAGGCTGATGTTCCTCCAACTCATTCCAGATCTCAGACAGATGTTAAAATTCAACCTAAGAAACTCTTGTGTATTTCTCCCATTCAGAGATATTTATGCCTCCATGAATAAGGCTAATTTGATAGGAATCTAATCACTTTTATCCACAAAGCAGATAAAAAAATTCTCAAGAATGAAAAATCCAAATATTCTTAACAGACACAACTCAGTTCCCCATCCCTTGACCCTCCGTGCCCCTACCCATGAGACCCCCCTCACTGATGAGAGGCTGGGAACCAAGCCCAGTCCCCCCACCCCCAGCAGAGACACCCACCCCAAGAAGAGGCTAGAGCCGGGAACCATGGGAAGCCAAGGGAGGGCTGCTCCCTGTGGAGAGCTTGCAGGCCATTGGGAGGGAGGGGGACACTGGAGGCTGGGGGCAGTCCCCAGAGCCTTGCCCCCTCCCCAACCTCAGAGAGCCTGCTACAGTGACCCACTGGAGACTGGAGGCAGCCCCCAAAACCTCACACACACCCCTGCAGACAGCTTGCAAGCCATGGGGATAGTTGGAGGCTGGGACTGACCCATGGACCCTCAACACCTCTCCTCTGGGCCAGCTGCAGGGCCAGGGAGGGTGTGCTGCAGGCCGGGGCCGACCCCTGGAGCCTTGCCATCCCCCCCACAGACCAACTGTAGAGTCCAAGCACCTGCTCTGACTCCTACACCCCATACCCACAGCTCCAAGCATTGAGCCCCTCCTTAATGACCTGAGCAACACCAGGTAAATGTGCTGGCCATGTGTGGCTATGTCTACACTACAAAGACAAGTTGGAAAAAGATACGCAAATTGTGAACTGCAATTTGTGTGTCTTTTTCTGCTTTTCTTCCAAAAGAGGCTTTTCCAACAGTTGTCCCATTTACATGGGGCCAAATGTCAGAAAACACCCTCTTTAGGAACATCCCTTATTCCTCCTAGAACAAGGTTTACCAGGATGCTGACAAAATGTGTCCGCTTTTCCGACATTTTTCTCCCAGAAAAGCTCCGTAGTCTACGTATACCCTAAGTGTGTGTGTTAGTTCCATATTAAAATGGAACATGATCACACTGTACTACACTGTTTGAGGAGGCAGTAAAGATGGAGTTATGTGCATTTTCTGTTTGTCAAATGGGCAATTTTACGTCTAGATCAGCAACATAACATGCAAATATAAAAGAAAGACAGGCCCAAACAAATTATTCTATGGAGTCCATTTCTGTGTCCAATCTGAATGTGACAACAATGTTATTAAAACATAGATAATGAGAGCTTGCTCCCCCCAAGCTTTTCCAAGTTCATGAACCTGCATAGAGACATTATAAATGGTGAAAGTTTTCAAATAACTAAATAAGACTAAATTGGTATATTTCTGGCCGAGAGACATTATAAATGGGGAAAGTTTTCAATTAATTAAATAAGACTAAATTGGTATATTTCTGGCCGTGGTTTTCAGAAATGGGCATTTTTCTCCCTGATCCTGCTAATTACAATAGAAGGCATTCTGTCATCCATGTTATGGTAAATTGTAGGTTCAGATACTTGACTTCTTCCAGGATATGCATGTATAGATGCACATGCAAAATATGCAGTTGTAAGCACAATCACTCGTTAGCACACAGTTTACCATGTCAAACAAGCAAGTGGACACATTTTGTATAATTAATTACCTGCAGGTATGCATGGGGACATAGTTTGTAAGCAGAACTTAAACA